AGGGTTTACTGGTTTGAAACCGGGATGTTAAACATCCTCATGCAAGTTTTGTGATGGAAGAATTCATTTTGAATTATCTCAGAGGTAGCACAGGCGATGAAATTTAACTTTCTAATTTTAAATATAAAGTTAAAATTTCAACAAATCTATATCGTTCGCATCTGATTTCACTGTTGCCTTCTCAAAAGTTCACTCATAGGCCAACCTCTAATTTATTCCTAATTGCTACATTTTCCAATTACTTTCCAAGTCGATAAGTCAAAATAATTTCATTTCACATGTGAAAAATAATACTCTTTAGTGCTACATTTGCGCAACTAAGGAAATAAGACATAAGAACTAATCTTCGTTCAAAGTACAACCTTTTAATCCCTATAATTAATTTCTACATTGATAAATCTAAATTCAAAGCCAAGCTACTCGCAGTGAACCTAAGTAAAAATCAAGTGTCCCTACCTGATTAAAAGTTTGACTGATAAAACTCAATCCAGTGATATCAGGCTTCTTATAAAGCGTTTATGCGCTGCTATAAAATATTAAGTTGAACCGAAAGGAGAAAAAAAATACTGAGAAGGTCGATTAAATATTAAAACCGGCTATTGACAGAGACTACTTCATAATTATATTGTGTTTAGGTATAACATTGTTTTTCCTGTCGTAAACGAAACTTTCCAGTACAGATGGATTATCCCAATATTTTCCCAGAAGCATGGGCCATCTTAAGTTAACTTTAAATTATCAAAAGAAAACAGAGTAGGCCAGTTAGTTAATTAGCTCTTCCAAATTTATGAAAGCGATTCTGTAGGTAAAACGTTGTCCAAGCAATCCATCATGCCCTGGGGCCCATGAGTTAGTTAGCTCCTCCAACTTTATGAAAGCATATTAATAATGTTCGAAGCAATCTATTTCTTCAGGGGTTGACGAAACTCTGCCTGATAATTTGTTACACGATATTTTTAGCACACTATGTCAAGCTGAGATTTTAATTTGTGTTCTTGTTTTTGCTTGTGTTTTTCCTCACACTACCATAACAAACTAACACCAAAGGAAATGCGTGTGGTAAAAGTGTACTCTTTTAGAACCGATATTTATGGATTTGGTAGTTTTACTACATTGAAGCAGCTGTAGGGCGTTGTGTTTTATGTTGACAAGTCGTGAGATCTTCACATTGAGCTTCGCAATTCATGAAACAACGCACACCTCTGTGGTGATCAAAAATACAAACATTATGTCGATAAGCGAAAGCGTAATGTTATTTTATCGCGAGGCATTTCCTCAGTATTTCTTATCAGTTTGCGGGTTGTGCTCTAATCTGGTAACAATGGAAGTCTCCTGTCCAATGAAAAATGGGCGCGTGTCAAAGTTAAGTACAAAAGGTTGGTTATCTCGTACACGCGGCCCCTTTCTACTATTGCCATCATCGCAAGAAGAACTTTTCTGCTTGTTAGCGTTCAGACGTATATGTTCTTTCAGGCAAGTGCCCTTTAGTTATTTTGTCTTGCAGTATTTCTAGAGTTCATTTACTTTGATTCCTTTTGTGCTTAATTGCGGAGCTGTTCCGACGGGTAGTCTACTATGGGTACACCTCGTGTTTTAATTCTGGCCATTCGTTTATTTGTCGCTTACATGATTTCATTGAAATTGACTCCGGGCATTTGGATCTAAGGCTCCATTTGACGGCCTCCGCTCACATAAGTTGGTATGGAGTTGGGGAGCGCGCAATCGCTAAAACGGTCAAGTTCGACCTACACATCCTTCACTCGTTTCGCCCAGATATAGTTATTGTGCA